TACACACCAGGTGAACATTAGATTGATGCTTCTAAAATTGAAGAAGATTGAATTAAAGGAGATATACCGATGGACTCCCAGTAGAAAACATCCTGTATTTCTCCTAGGCAGTATTATTCAACCTGAAATCTTTTGTTTTGAGTTTGTATTCTTTAACYTTATCAGACCACTGCTCTACAACTCCCAGAGTAAATGATATCTTGGTCTGTTTATGAAACGCATAGTCCTACAGATGACATGCTCTTCTCCCTGCCATATTATCCTCCTCAAAGTGCACTCCCACTCCTATAATTCATTCTGCATCCCATGGCATCCAAATAAAATAGGATAAACTACAGTCTTCATTCAACCCATGACTGTGTTTCAAAAGGAATAGGTGAGCAAAGAGTTATTCTGATTCAAGTTTGGATCAGTCTTTTAAAAAAAAAAAAAAAAAAAACTAAAAGATTTTACCTACCCCTGTGCTATTTCCATTGCCTAAAGCCTCCATTAGCACTAGTCTCTCTCGCAGGGAGTTTGAACTTTCCTTTAATCTAATCCATTTAGAAAATGACTCACAATTTATTGAATAAAGTGGAGAAAATTGATATCTTTTCATTAGACTGACAAAGTCCTTTTCACTGCTGGCATCTGTGAAATGTGTTCTCTATTTAGATTTTATTTATATCAATCTTCTGTGGTGGGAACTAGATGAAAATGGACTGCCTTGCAACTTGCCATAAGCACTTGTCCATTCTGCAGCAAGTGTCCTACCAGTTTTGTGAACAAATCTTCCYTCTTATTCTGTATTGTGATAGCTGTGACTAAGGGGAATCGTGATCTAACAGCTCCATCCCACTGCATCCCATTTGCAGTGTGTACTTGATCATTGGCAGAGAGCTGCTGCAGCTTTGTAACAGCAAATCCAGAAGCAATCTTGCAACTTTTTAATATGTAATATGTTTCCCTTCAAAACCATTGAGGAACAATGATACTTTGCACCTCTTCATATTTGAGGGTTAACATAAACAAGTTGTATATTATATTCCGAGTAATATCAGACTGCTACCTTGTTACGTATATCATGTTTCTATTTGTAGTCATATATAGCTTCTCATGTTGTTAAAGGAAGTTCCTAAGTACAGATGCAGAGATACTAGATAATTGCCYCTGCAAAATGTTTGCATTTTATTTTTTATCAGGCTAGAGCAGCAAATGTGATGCAATTCAAGTACCTGTATTTTTCTGGGTTGCGCTTGCACATTTTCTCCAAGACCTCCCTCTTCCATCTTCTGTTAATCTTTTATTTTAAAATGCAACAGATCTATGAACTAGCAAAAAAGCTCTTCTCCTCACTCCCTATATGCATCCCTGTGTTTGATCACCAGGTCTCTTAAGTGTATTTCCCTATTTGGTGCACATGACTAAAAGTGCCATTTCAACCAGATGCTTTTTGTGTGTGTTTAAACACATTAAGTWAAATCTGCTAATCAGAAATTACTTTTCTGTAGTTTTGCAAATGGAGGTGAAAATATGCAGTCTGAACTGAGCTAAAAGAAGTCTYAACATTTTTTGAAGAAAGCTCCATTTGCCGGATGCTCAGAGTTTAATATACCCATAAAAGATGTATTTGCTTAAAAACTGATATACCCAGTCCCTGGTTTAAACTAGCAAGAGCTAGGGGAAAGGAGAAAAAAAATAATCAAACCTTTCATATCATATCCTTTTCCTCCTCACATGGCCAAGGGTATCTGCCTTCATAAAACCAGCCTTGCATGAGAAAACTCTTCATATATTCATTACAAGCATCTAATTCAGCATGATGTGAGCATTCACGGTCTGGGATGTCTGTTGCCTAACAGGATCCCGTAATTCTCCTCTAAAATTAGCAGTTGGGGTAGCTAAGCCACTCAGGTTCCTCAGATCCAGGAGATCTGGGATACAGCCATGCCCGAGGGAAAGTATCTCAATTTTTAACACTCCTCGCTCTCACRTGACTGTGTTAGTGCATTTGAGCCACGTAGCCTAGACAGCGAAACTAAACCGTGTTCCCCAGAGAAGCTTTTTTTCTCCCTGTTTGTTCAGGGATACCTAATCTAAACCATTGCAAAACCATGATTCATTTTAAAGCTTTTTCCTGCCTTTCTAAACAGTTAGAGACATAAAACTTTGAAAGCAAGTAGATCAGCAGTGCCCAGGGCAGACAAGTGGTCCTAAAGATTGAAGGGCTCTTACTAGAAGTGGAAAATTGCAAACAAAAGTCAAAACAAATTTTCATCCAGTTTTGGCACCCTTTGCCACAGCAATGTGCCAAGGACTAAGCCATAACAAGCTCTGTAGCAATTCAGATTTACAAACAAAAATAAGCAACCTGAGTTTTCAGATTCTCCCAGTTAACTTTGCCTCCCTAAAGTGGTTCCAAGCAGGGTGTTGAGATTGCTATTAAATTGGCCACATCTTACAGGGTATGCGGTCCCACAGRAGGACAAATGATTAGGCAGCATCTTTCCTATCAGGGTTGATGTGAGATTTTGCAAGGAGGAGCTCTGTTCTTATCATTGATATTAGGTCAGGGCTTGCTGAGGTGTGTTTTTGCATATGTCGCTAACCAGACTAATGTGTAAAGGTGCCTTGTGCTTATTCACTCTGTAGATCAGGCAGGCATCAGCAAGCCCTGCCTGGCTGGGGCTGGTAGCAAAATTAGTGACTGCTCCATTAGAAAAGTTGCCTCAGTAACTGGAGCTATGCTGTGATCGTGAGTTGATATACGTACACAAAACCAAACTCGACACTCCTAGTCAAACCAGTTGGCATTAAGGTTCAGTGGTCTCTTTACATTTGATTATTTGAAGGTCAACACCTGAATACTTGGGCTACATTTAGGAACAGCCTTAAATGCTTGTGAAACACAGTGAACAGTATTGGTTCCCCAGACTGCCCTGGCAGCCTGGGCTTATCTCCTGTCTTCCATTGTCAATCCCCTGTGCCAGAGCATGTAGTTTAATATTTTCAGCACCAAGCACTATAGAATGCTTTTCAATGGTTATTTAATAATAATAAGTGTTTGTGACAATGGCTTTCCAATTTGAAATCTTGGGTTCTCCATCCTACTCTGAAGATGCTTCACTGTTGTGAAGGACACTTTTTGACAGGGTTTGGCTTCCCCCTTCACAATGTATTATTACTGTGGAGATTTACCCCCCACCGCCACCACATGCTATTTTGCACTAGCTTGTGCTATACTTAAACGCACCAACCAAATGTATTGACTGTATACCATTTGGATCAACCACATTTCTCAACAAGGGGGCAGGGTATGGTTTGCCCAGCTTATTTTAGGAACCATTATATCACCATTAAAGAGGAAGTGTTAAAGAGACTTTAAGAGAGAAATAAATATGATGACTGTACGTGTTGACCTTTTTTTGCAAGGTTTTATAGTCTAAATTAATAAGTTCTTAGACCTTACTAGAACCTTTATACAAAAAATAGCATCTTTACAGGGCACATGACTTAATATTGTATTTGCTTAAGCAATCTCAATTATTTTCAGGACATTTTTCCCTTCTCCTATATTCCCACCTAAATGTTATTGTATTTTGCCTTAGATATATGTGTATGTCTCTCCTTTATAGAATATATATTTATAATATCAGGCATGCATGCTTGTGTCCAGGCATGTGTTCTTTATTAGTCTGCAGCAAAGCAAGCTGGATAAGGGACCAAGGAAGCATTTGGGAGGAGAGGGAATTAGGGGCAGCCACCAGAAGTGGCTGAAACCGCTGAAGGTTGACCCACAGACACCAGTGCATTTTTCATGCACCTCACTGGAAAAAAAAGTGACAAAACACTAAATTGGAATGCTCTTGGGAAAGAAAAAGGCAATTTTCTTTTCAGAGCTAAGTTCAAAGGGGAACCGTTCCTAGYAGTTATGACTAGAGCAGCACAGTCAGTAGTTCAGGTGAGACAACAAATCCAACAGGGCAGCAAGATGGGCGCAACTGCCAAGATATGGTCACCAACAGCAGTGTAGGTCTTCCGGTGTCTATGAWCAGATTGCAACCAGATAAGAAATGAATCAGACCTTAAACATGAAGACCTTAAACATGACTGATATGCCCTTAAAAGTCAATGCATGCACAGCAGTCTCTTTTCCAGGACAGAAATCTCTGCTACAAGGTTGACTACTACTACAAACATATCTTACAGGCTTGAAGCAGCTATGCAGTGAGTTACAAAAGGGTTAATCTTCTCTATGGCATATGAGAAGCTTTGACAGCCAAGGTTTATGAATGCAACCATGAAATTAATTCTAACCAGGGAAAACAAACCAGATAGAGCTGCTCATGCACTCACTGGTTGCAATTTCCAAGGTCAGTTAAAGTTTATCAAAATCCCCAGACAAAATGTCAATAAGATATATTTAAGGTTATAGACAGATACCAATTCCCAGGAAAAAATACTCTGAARATACACTCAAGATGGTAAACATATGTGCCAATGAAATTCAAACAGTAAGAGCTAAACATGGTAATAATTGATAATGTTAAACATTTGGAAATTAAAAGTAACTGCTAGAGACAATGTGCTTGATGTAAAATTGATTATGTGTTTCAACTGRAAGTCTGAACTTCTGCTGTACAACATCTCTTTCTTTTTGTCATTATGAAACTCCTTTGAATATTGCGGAAGCTAAAAACTCACATGGTTTAAAAAATTAGACATTTGCAGAGGAAAAAATGCATTTGTAGGTATAAAAGAGAGGAAAAAATTGATTCGGTAAGTTCTGTCAGCCAAAAGTTGTGGAAGCCTTGGAGAATATTCCAGGGTGATAAAATTTTAGATGTGAGATCTCACACAGATCCATAAAGATCCAAGACTGACCACTCTCAACCAATTTTGCATGGAGGGTTTAGGAAGGACACTGCCTCTTTGGTACAGTGTCAGCCCCCTAACATATTATTTAATCCAATTTTTTGTTTTTTTCACTGAGAACTTTATCTTTTCTCTTCTAGCTTCAATAGTGATTGGGAAATGGTGGTGCGAGATGGAGCCCTGCCTAGAGGGAGAGGAGTGCAAAACATTGCCCGATAATTCTGGATGGATGTGTGCAACYGGCAATAAAATCAAGACTACCAGAGTAAGTCCTCTTTCTGCCTGTGCCCAGTAGGTGCTCATAGGAAAGGGAATCACCATCAGCAGCTGATCTCTTTCTTTTCCAGCATCATGCTTGCAGTTATCATCTCAGTCATCGCATACTGGCACAGCTATTCCAAGCTGCCTTCACATTAGCGGCTCTACAGGTAGTTTTGTAGCTGAGCTGAAACTCAATCCATTACTTTGGAAAAAAAGTCCTTACTTTTGAAAAAGTCTTTCAAAATAGGATTCTACTTTTGTTTTTGCATTCTGCAAATGTTTCACAGATATCTTTGTGGAACTGCTACTTCTACACAAATTCCAGTAGTTTTAATGAAATTGTATTCATACAACATGATTGCTTTTCCCCCCAAGCAAATTACATTTTCAATTCAGAACATGTTTTTGTATGGCCAAGATTTTGATCTTCAGCAAAACTGAGAATATCTTTTGAAACCTGCTAAAATGAAAAAGCAAGATGTTCAAGAAACTATTTTTCTGGTTATTAAGAAGTTCAACACACAGGTACTTGGCTAAAAAATTCACAAGAATGTCATTTAATGTCACAATTTCCTTACTTCCATTTCTTATGTTCCCGAGTGCAGTTATTTTGTCCCCTAAGCCTTTTGTTGCAGAAGGAGATTTTACCCCAGCTGATCCCCAGAACTGCTGAATGTTTTTCCTCACCCAAATATAATTTTATCCCAAGCCAAGAATACTTTGAATTGAAGGAAGGAATGATTTGTATTGCGAACTAACTCAGATTCTCAAGTATTGTCCTCAGGACAGCTCATCTAGTCATCTTACCAACTTACAATACCAATGTCGTGACTGAAAATTGGTCCCTGCCTGCAGCTGCTTTCCACTGAGCTGAAACAGCCTTTGAAAGACTGTGTCCTGAAAATTCCTTACTGCAAAGCCAAAACAACCATTGCATGCCCTGTTCAGTGCAGCAACTTTTTTTCCTAACAAATTAGCAATTAAATAAAATAAAGCAATATTCAAAACTGATAAGCAATATGCAGAAGTACACTCTACTTTTATCACATTATAAACGTAGCATAAAACCAGTAATACTGATGTACCACTCCAAGTCAGTTTGGAGATTACATACTTTAGGAATCTTCTTCTGTGAACTYGTCTTGTGCTTAATTCTCCCAACCCTGAGCCCATAAGTTGGTTTTCAGCAGTACCCAAAACATTTCTACATCTAGAGATGCTGGAAGTTTAACAGCTTCATTAATATTCAGATGTATACTCCAACCTATTCAGTATGCACAATTGTACTTCATTTAAATTAAATACTTACAGAAGTGAGTGCTCATAACTGAAAAATGTTTCTGTCATTTACCCACAGGAGTTATTTTAATTAGCTTGAGAGGGGAGTACCTTATGGTGCTGCTTCCAGTAGAATTTTGCTTTGTTGCTTCAAAATATCATTACAGACCACAATTGGCAAAAGCAACATGACATGATGTGCTTAGCAACTGTCTCTCGCATTTTCTAAGCAAAAATCCTACTTCATAATCCCCCAAACTTTGCTTGAATCCCTACTGCTGTGTCAAGCCTCGAAACATAAATAAAGTAATAAAGGCAATCAGATCCTGAAATGGACAATTTTTTCCCCTTTGTTTTGTCATTTCAGATAGCATCAGAGAAAGATTACACTGTAATCTGTACTGCCCCCAATCCAGGCTACAAGATGGGGCCATGTGTGTCTAATTTATATAGCTAAGAAAGCAGAAGCAGCAACACAAATCACTCAACATCCAAGATATATCTATGGTGATTAGCCAAGAAACTAGAGCAAATCACCATAGGCTGTAAGCAATTTTAACAGGGGCTTTTTCTTTCACAAAATACATTTATGTTGAACAGCTGCTGCCCTGACCAGGAAAGCATCCATTTATACATCACAAGATTAAAATCCCTATTTATATATATTTCTCCTTCAAGCTCACAATATAATACATACATGCATATGTGTTTGTGTATAAATATCTATGCATACACATGACATACAACCTTGCAGTGGTTCTCCAGAGAGATTGATACTGCTTAGCAGTAGATGGACATCAGATCCAGGGAAGGCTTTGCCAGCAGCAGGACCTGCTTTCCTACTTTTCATAAATTTATTCCTAGGTTTGGTCCTTTAACATAGATCACTACTGAAGTTGTTAAAGCCAAAGCTGTAAAGCTCTCRGCATCCAGATCGATTTGTTTGCTCTCAATACTCAGAGCAGGTGACTGAAAAAGTGGGAAGGAATCTTTGGCAATTCATTCTTTGGTCCAGTTTGAAACTTGTTTTAATCTCCTTTTTTTAAAAAAGCACAATTCTCAAAGCTTTCCTTTAAAAGCACAGACTCTCTTTTATGGTGTCCTCAAGGGAAAAGCATGCATTTCTTAGCAGCCACTACATATCTCGTACTACAGCAGAAAKCCCTGAAGTGACCATGGTCCCGTATTCCTCTCCACTGCTTCATGGCCCGTGGGAATACCCACAGCAGCACATCCAAAAGGAAGGGCTGCCTATCCTCTCCAGCAGACAAGACCCAGCAGCATCATTTATCAACAGAAGAGCAGAAAATAGCAGCTGGGGGAGGGAGGGAAACAGTAAAAGAGCCCCGAGTTTTATTTATTTATTGACTGTCTGACCAGGTTAATAAGTCAAATGGTTTTCACAGTTAAAATTTTCCTCTGGAGCAGCGAGAAAGAACCCCATTTTTGTGATAACAGTCTCTGCAAACCATGAGGTCAGCTGGAAGTAGTAGAGCACAAGGCAATAAATATCTCTTGCTACGAGCTATTGCTGCATTTCATCATATCACCAAGTGCTTAGCTAATAATTTGTAGTCCTAATTTAAAACMTGAGCCTGCTCACATTCAAGTCAGCTTGAGTTTCCTTGCTGACTTAATTGTCTGGCCAAGGGCTAGACCCCTCAACACCATTCATCTGCCTRTATCGGTGTAGAGAGGAAACAAAAGGCTCTACTCAGGAGAGCTATTTTAGCTCCTGTTAGGTCAATTCTTATTTGAGCATCCTTAAAACTCCCCTCAGCAGCACTGCTTCCTCCTAAAGCCATTAGCATGCTCACTTGGATCAATGCAGGTGTTTGTCAGAAAGAGCTAAGGCTGTTGTGCCGCACAGAATGAATTGCCTCACCCAAGGTGAGCAGGTAAAGTGGGTCAGACTTTCTGGTTTATCATAAGATCTTTCATACACATCTTTGTATAACAGCATTGGAGGAGGAAGCCCAAATTAACCTGAAAGTGGTTCCACTTGCATGTTCTAGTCCAGAAGGAGCTACTACCACCTGCCCAAGCAGGGGAAGGTGATGAAAATTCCAGCTAGATACACAATCAGTGCAACACCACAGAAAACCCAGGTCTTCCTTCCCCTGTGTAAAATACGTTACATAACTGACTCTTTGCCTCCTGCAGATCCATCCGAGAACCTAACAGAGAACTGCCTGCGTGGATACAGCGAGAGCCCGGCTGGCACACAAGGACATGCAAGCGGAGGTGGGAAAGCCTCGCAGTATCTCCAAGCCAAATGGATTTATTTGCACTCTGAATGGCGACTAGATAACAACAGTGGCTTTACTGTGTGAAGAACGTATTCTGTGGAAATAACGTCCCCAATTTTTGATGTCTGAAAAGCAAAGAAAAATGGTTCTTGGGTAAAGTTTCCAAGATTCTGAAGTATCAGACAACAGTATTAAATATGGATCTACAATTTACTTTTTACCATTTAAAGTATATATTAATATATATTAATACATGATATTTTGAAATAAAAGCCTCACTCTTCAAGAAATTGAATCCTACTACACATTGCTGCAGCTGTAATTTTTTTTTTTTTTTGTAATGGTCTGGAAGATCCCTACGTGCTTCAGAGAGAAACCAGGCAGCCAAGAGGCAAAGCAAACCTGCTGCCWTCTGAGGATGCAGAGAACTACATGAATCAATCCACCACAGCATCCCAAAGTTCCCAGTCCCTTTGCGGAGTATCAAGGGCATTTTGCTGTTCTACTTTCTTGTGTCCTGGAGGCTTTTCCCCCTTGTGCAACACTAGCATGCTGGCTTTGCTTACGTAATCATACTTGGTACTTAATTGATATCTAACAATGATAATTCTATCCTCTTCCAAGAGAATATTTTTAGAGCTATTAGAAATTTCATGGAGAAGAGAAGGACAACTACCAAGTGAAATRCAGTATGTATTAAAAGTTTATTTGGCAGAGTTTGGTAGACTCTGAGCTCCCTTCTTATTAAGGATGTGCTGTACATATAATGTCTTCAGACTTTGTATAGCTGGTAGAGATCATAGTAAAAATCCAGTAACCAACTACACAGCTTTGCATTGTTCACTCACTACTTCTTTGAAACAAAGCTATACCTTTTTGTTCCAATGTACAAAATAAGTTATTTATTTTATTTTTTTTTAAATGAGCCTATTTGCAGATGGTGAGCAAGCATTTAAGTTAAAACAATGTGTGGACAGTATCAGCACATAGGCAAGATGAACTGGCTGGCACAGGGTGTGGGGACACCRGCTTGGCCACATGCAAGTATATGACAGCAAGCTATATTTAACCCTCCCATGGTGCAGACATCTTCATGGCACAGCAAATGCACAAAGCTGGTCCATGAGTTGTGCCCAAGTRCTGCTTTTATATCAACAGTATTTCCTTCTGGTTTGATTTTCCATGTTTCTCACTAAGGTGAGTTGAGGTCAGATGGGATGCTCTTGGTCTAGGACATATCCCAGGGATGTGTAGCTGCTACCCATGAGTGCTTTGCTCCCCCAACTCTCCGTGCAGCCAAGTCCTTGTACWGCTGAAGAAAGACCAAAGCTGCAGGCTCAAGCACTCAAGCCTAGTCCATTACCCAAGCACTCTTGGGAGCAATCCCATTTATTCATGCAGAAAAATCTTACTGTCACACAAGAGTCGCTTAGTCTAGTCTTCAGTATGCCTCATGCTGCCACATCAGAAAGTAGTATGGAAGCGCAGAACTTATTTTAACCAGCCCAACTTAATTTCTTTAATATTTCCAATTTCCTTTCACCCTACTTTCCCATCTCTCACAAGATGCCTTTGGCCATGCTAATCAGTTTTAATCCACTGCAGAGCAAGTGCTGCAGTTGCCAACCCAGAATCAGTCAAAACTCTCCCACTAACTTTCTCTCTCCTTCAGGGCAGCCACTTAACACCTGATGTTTCAAGAGGTAGAAATTTGTCACTGTAATTACATTGTATATTAAGGCAGCTACATGACATGTCACACCATATTCCATGCAGGCTTTCTATGTTGGTCCCTGCCTGATTCTCACAGCTAAAATGGATATACTGCTTCCAAGAAGTAGTGCTATTATATCTTCTTTTTAATAGGTACAAGACTGAAATGTGTCTTAAAGTTGCTTCTCTCCACACAGAAAGACTAGRAGGAACTCATGTCCTACTCCCAGTTGCCGATCTTACTGCTAAGAGGATAGCCCCACTGGCAGAGCTGAGGACAACTGTGCTAAGGGCATGGGTCAGCTTGCCAGGTTGTGTGTTTTCTGTTTGGCAGTAGACATCAGCCTCAACTGCAGAAGGCATCTGGACCCTAGGTTGCACTTGAGATTTGTCTTTATCCTCATCTTCTCCATTGGAGTATTTTCCCAGGACCAGCTCATTGGGTCTGCTCCAGGCTTACTCACCAAGAATGAGAAATTCCTCCCAAGTAAATCCTTAATATTTCTCATTTTGCRGAAACTAGCCCTTCTAAAAATTTCATGACCATCTCAAACTGAAAGATCAGTTCTGCTGTTAGGAGATGAAGGGATCAAAAGCCAGGAAGCATCATTCTTATGCTTTACCRGTAGAAATTGAGGAATACAGAGCCGAGTAACCACTCAAAGTCACCAGGGAGTGGTGCAAAGACAGTCAATACTGAACTCCAGTTTCSATATTCACATCAGAGGAGGTTCTCCAACATTTCTTGCACAGGTTAATGGCTTTATGTGTCCTTTGCTGAAGCCCAAGGTGTCACCAAGAGTATCTATTTATCCCATATCTGTGTATCAGATAGGGCTGAAGTGGAATACATAACTGTGCTTACACCCATGTCTATGAAATGGGTCAATAGAGAAATATTAGACTTGCTAAAATATAAGAGGAAATGTTGTCATTACTGCAGCAAAGTTTGAGGTATTTATGAATTTTTCGTTGCCAGTAGGCAGTTTCAAATATCACCGCACCAAATTCAGTAAACATCTGCGTCTCTTTGAAGTTATTGCAAAATCTGCTCATAAAGTGCAGCACTGAGAAATTGCTGTTTTAATTAAAATGTTTTGGAGGGGAATTAAGGCCTTTGCAAAAATAATGACTAATAAAACGTGAAGTCAAATTAAGAGCCTGATGCAGCTAACCTTCCTTGTTTCAGTGCACCAGATTGAAAAGAATAATAAAAACATTCAACCAGCCTGGAGTCACAATGATCRTGTATTTCAGTGATACATTCACTAACACTATGCTGAAAAGATCAGTTTTTTCACTTCAGTGAGTGAAACCCTGGTGTGTTTCAGTGATTAGTTGGACGGGTCCCACATCATGGGTGCAAGCCGTGCTGTTCTCTGCATAACATCAAAACAAGCGTTCACATCAACATAAGAGGAAGTTCAAGGTCTAGGTCCTACTGGATTCCAAAGGGATGGCAGGGGGAAAAAGTGAAAAAATCAAATATTTGTAAGATTTAAAGAAACTTAGATTTATGTCCATGTTTCTTCAGATATGTGAAAAAGTTATGTACATTTGAACTGTACAAGTAGGAAAAATGCTGAGAATACAATAGCTACCAGCCTATTGATTCAGAAAGTYGAGATTGTGTACTTTGTCCAAAAGCTCTCCAATAATAAAGAGCTGTGGTAAGATTTGAAATTACTTTGAGTTTACTACATTTGAAGAAAAAATGACCTGTGAAGCAGCAGCCTAATGTTACAATCAGCAACTATGAACAGTGTGATGGGTCCATCAAACCTAGCATTACACAGAAAATCCTGTCAAAAAGTGGTTTATGATGAGCGATGCACTTATCAGAACTATTGACTGACCATTAGCAGATATTACAGATATGTAATATCCACACAAATATCCATCTTCCAGATAGGCAAAAGGGGAAATAYGCACACAAAAGTCAGTTTAAGGCTGTCAACACTTTCTAGTTCATTGGTTTGAACTCAGATCATAGGCCTGACACATTTATAGGTCCTTCTCTGCAGTAGAGTCACACAGTCAAAACACTTAACACCACAAATAATTCTATTTCATAAAACAACATCACTTGGAAACAAAGAAAGGGAGTGCTGTCTCAGATAGGAAAACAGACTCTGAAGACTTGACTGAAGATTCACTAGCAGCAGCAGCAAAACCAGTAATAAGACGAGAGACTGACTGCATTGCCAACATCACAGATGGTTCACGTGTAGCTGACATCCACAAGGTTTCATTGCCAGCAGATGTCCACTTTGCCTTAACTCAACATGGAGCACAATTAGGATGCTGTGATCAAGGTGGACAATCCTGGGCAAGCACCAGCTTCTCAGAGCTGGCTCAGCTCCTGCAACTGGGATTGGGAAGCCACTGAACCATGGACGACCACTACTGAGCCTGCAGTCCTGCATCATTTCAGCTCTAAAGTCCCTGGGCAGAGGCTACTTTGAACCTCTTGGGTGAGAGCAGAGATGAGACAAATGCAGAATTGACCTTGATTGATTCTGCCAAAATTTAAATCCTGAGAAACACTGCAGCCAGGAGTGCTCTTTTTGGAGGTCAAGATTTCTTAGAGATATCCATCCAGTAGAAGGGGCTTTTGTGCAGAAGTTTAATGTGAACAGAGACAGCACATTCTCTAACACCAGAAGGAGCCAGCAAGAAGCACAAAATTTGTACCTAACAAAAATGTGGGCACTGCTGCCATGCTAGACAATTCTACAGATATTAACTAAATCACAGGAAAAAAACATTTTACTTCATTTTATGTATTTATTTGTGGACACATATGTCTGGTTGGTAAAACTATTGTTGCTTGACAAGTACCTTTAGTTCTCAAGTACAGCTCAGAAACATGCAGAAGCCTTTCCCATGTCAGGTCTGTGTTTTTCATGCAACGCTCCTTTTAAGGTTATTTTTATTTCCCTACTATGCAGCAATTCACTCAACTTCATATGAGTAAAAGCAAACATATATTTGAGCATCAGGTTACTGGCCTGGTTCCTTCTATTTCTGGCCCACTTTCTTTGCACAAAATAAGCTGCTCCTTTTCAAATTGTTGTCCTTGGCTCACATCTGAAACTGGGGTTATGGGCTCAACTACAGCTGAAGCAGAGCATCCATAGCCTAAAATATTGCTCAGTGGAATATGAGATTTGTCTCACCTGCCATTCCTCTTCATTTTCTCTTTCATTTCATTCTCATGGTCTCATCCTCTCTTTCACACCCTGTAATTATTTTCATCCATCTCTATTAGTCCTTTATCACCACTGCTGACCCATAGACTAAGGAAAAGCAGCTGTGCTGTCAAAAAACAAATCAGGGAGCAGCTCCCCCCAAAGGCAATGATTTATGTGATATTATTTTCCTTTTTTTCCGCCTGCTCCAGAAGGCAAGACCCTGACCTTGCCACAGCTGCTGTGCCCGCGGCTCCCAGTACTTAGGCTGTGCACACCAGCAATGCCCAGCTCAGGGCCCTGGGGTTTTATCTCAGCTGCTGGTGCTTGATTTGCAGCARAGAAGTTGGCTGTTGTCTCCTCACCTCCC